TGCTCTCTAGCTCCTGACCTCAGGTGACCTGCCCACCTTGCCTCCTACAGTGTTGGGATTACAGGCATGAACCACTTCGCCTGCCTCCCATGGGGTTTGAATGCAAAAAATGCAAACTTTCTTCTGCTTTCACCCCACAACAATGAACACAGAACACTTCTGTGACCAACTGTGTGACTTCCTCACCTCCCCCATACACCAAGCGACCAGTTCTGCTGGGTGTCTTCTGACTCAATTCTGACACTGTGGACTTGGAAACAGTATCAGATCCTGCAGGTTGAGGACACAGTCCCACAAAACAGTCCCTCCGTCAGACACCAGTCACAAGTTCAAGCCTCTGGAGTTTCTGTCCCACCAGCTTCAAGCCAGGGTCCCCACAACACTCTTTTTGGGTTTGATTAATTTTCTGGAGTAGCTCGCAGAAGTCACAGAAACACGTTTGCCGGTTTATTATAAAGGATTTGACAAAGGATATGGGTAAAGGGTGGGGGAGGGGTAGAGAACTTTCATGCCCCCTGCCCCAGGATACCACCCTCCAGGAACCTCCACGTGTTCACTCTGTGGAAGCTCCCAAATCCTGTCATGGGTTTTTGCGGAGGTTTCAATGCGTAGGCTTGATTGATTAAATCATTAGCCATTGGTGATCAACTTAACCTGCAGCCTCTCCTCCCCAGAGGTAGTGGGCGGGACTGATAGTCCCAACCCTCTAATCCTGACTAGGTTTTTCTGGTGATCAGACCGCATCCTGAAGCTACCTATGGGCTGCTGGCCACCAGTCAATTCATTACCAAAGGAAAAAAAAGTTATCCCTTTGAAGAGCCTAAGGATTTTAGGAGTCGTATGCCAGGAAATGGGGTGGAAAACCAGATACATTTCACAGCATCACAGGCTCTCGTGACAGTAAATGAAGTCCTTGTACCAAGCCTGGTGCAGTGCTCAGCACGAGGTAACCACTCAGCAAATGACACCCTTAAAAGGAAACACCTCTCTGTCTCCGGGCTGCCTGGACCCAGCCCTGGGGGTCATCGGCTTGGCATGTCCTATATGCCTAGTATGAGCCCAGCTGGAGAGCTTCCCTCTGGGTGAATGAAGCATGAGGTCCCACAGAGCTGCTGAAGGCCAGGAGAGAGACCACGCTACAGGCTGCCCAGCGTGGTGATCGGGTTTTCCATCTGAGAAACAGACCAGAGCTGCTACTATGCCTGCTTCCTGGTGGTCCTGCAAAATTCCTGTGAAGGGCTGCGCCACGCCCTCTCCAGGAGGGCTGCTGGTGGCCAGGCAGAAGCTCCCCAGACACCAAGACCAATAAGCCTGTCTTGTTCCCATTTCCTCCCCCCCACTGGAGCCCCTCACGCACAGCCCTTGCCATCTCTCAGCTCCTCACTGGTCTCCTATACTAGCCATGGTCCTTGGAGCTCTAGCCTATGCCCTCCCTGGCTGCCCAAGTGATTTTTTTTTTTTTTTTTTGGGATGGAGTTTCTCTCTATTGCCCAGGCTGGAGTGCAATGGCACGATCTCCGCTTACTGTAACCTCCGCCTCCTGGGTTCAAGCAATTCTCCTGCCTCAGCCTCCCGAGTAGCTGGGATTACAGGTGCCTGCCACCATTCCCAGCTAATTTTGTATTTTTAGTAGAGACGTGGTTTCATCATATTGGACCGGCTGGTCTTGAACTCCTGACCTTGGGTGATTCACCTGCCTTGGCCTCCCAAAGTGCTAGGATTACAGGTGTGAGCCACTGCTCCCAGCCTTCTTTTTTCTTTTTGAGACAGAGTTTTGCTCTTGTTGCCCAGGCTGGAGTGCAGTGGTGTGATCTCGGCTCACTGCAATCTCACATACATGGCTCTGTTCTCTGGGACCTCAGACACATCTCCAGCTAGGATGACCCAGGAGACAAAGCCTGGGTCCTCTCACTCTCCAACCTCAGCTGCCAGTCCCTGCCAATTTGTCATTACCCAATCCCTGCTTTGGGTGATCAGCCCACTGTCCTCCCCACTACCTGGGCCCCCACCATCTGCAAGTCACCTCTTCCAGGAAGCCTTCCCTGGTCCATAATCCCAGAAGCATCTTTCATGTGTCATCTGGCATTTGGCCCATCTCTTACAAGATGTGCAACCAGGGATCTGGAATCACAGCCTCGGCCGCTGCTGAGTCACAGCGTATACCTGCTCACCCGCCATTCCCCATGTTGAAGACCATTCCAAGAGCATCTCTCAGCTCAATCAGAAGAATGGGGCCCCTTTGGGAATTCTGTAATTTCCCCCAGATCCCCAGCAGGCCCTTTCTCTGGCCTGTTTACCTCTGGCCTTTTCTAGTCCTCTGTGTCCTGCTCAGCCTACTAACTTCCTCAGGCTCTCTGAGGTATAAACAAAAAAAAAAATTTTTTTTTTGAGATGGAGTCTCACTCTGTTGCCAGGCTGGAGGGCAGTGGTGTGATCTTGGCTCACTGCAACCTCCGTTTCCCAGGTTCAAGTGATTCTCCTGCCTCAGCCTCCTGAGTAGCTGGCATTACAAGCACCTGCCTCCATGCCAGGCTAATTTTTGTATTTTTAGTAGAGATGGGGTTTCTCCATGTTGGCCAGGCTGATCTCGAACTCCTAACCTCAAGTCATCCACCCGCCTCAGCCTCCCAAAGTTCTGGGATTACCGGCGTGAGCCACCACACCCGGCTGATATAAATTTCTGTCCCCCTTCTTTCTGAAGGCCACTGTCCCACAAACAAGGGTAGTGTCCCTCTCAGATGCCCTCTGCATGGATGGGCTCCTTGGTCCCTGCTACCACCTGACTTACTCTGTCCCATCCCCAGCAGGACTGGTCAGGGTTTCTCCTAGCTGTGGTCCCTGAGGTTGGCGAATGGTCTCTGCACTCTGATTCCTAGTGATTTGGTTACCCTGACACACGTACATGCATGCACACGTGCACATGCACGCACACACACATGCACGTGGCATACTGGTCTACACTGAGGAATGGAACCAGATCGATGCAGAATTGCAGCACAGGAGGGCACTGACTAAACTTCTCACTCGGTCCCCACCAGCCTCCAGGAGAGATCATGCCTAAGGCAGTGGAGCTTTCACAAGGACGAGATGCTCCATGCCGTCAGGCGCTCCCGCTCCTTTAAGGCAATCGTTGCCAATATCTGTTTACCTCCCTGGGAAACCCACTCCCCACTGCAGTCTGTCTGCCCCCTCCACTCTACCCTCTGACCCCCCATTCCCCATTCAGTCTGAAGGGGTAGTTCTAAAATCTCCTAGGGAGCTTTAAAAAAAATCCTCGGCCAGGTGAGGTGGAGATCGAGACCATCCTGGTCAACATGGTGAAACCCGGTCTCTACTAAAAATACAAAAATTAGCGCCTGTAGTCCCAGCTACTCGGGAGGCTGAGGCAGGAGAATTGTCTGAACCCGGGAGGCGGAGGTTGCGTGAGCCGAGATCGCACCATTGCACTCCAGCCTGGGTAACAAGAGCGAAACTCCATCTCAAAAAAAAAAAAATCCTCATGCCTAGGTCCCACCTTCAGAGATTCTGGTTCAAATGGTTAACGATGTCATCTGGGTGTCAGGATTTTTTTCGGCCCGGCACAGTGGCTCATGCCTGTAAGCCTAGCACTTTGGGAGGCTGAGGTGGGTGGATCACTTGAGGTCAGGAGTTCAAAACCAGCCTGGCCAACATGGTGAATTCCTGTCTCTACTAAAAATTAGCTGGGCATGGCAGTGGGCACCTGTAATCCCAGCTACTTGGGAGGCTGAGGCAGGAGAAATACTTGAACCCAGAGGTGGAGGTTGCAGTGAGCTGGAATTGCACTACTGCACTCCACTTTGGGCAACTGAGCAAGTCTCTATCTTAAAAAAAAAGAAAGAAAAATCTTTAAAAAATTATTTTAGCAGTTTTAGGTTTTTAGGAAAATTGAGCAGAAGGTACAGACAGGGCTGGGTGCAGTGGCTCATGCCAAGGCAGGCAGATCACTTGAGGTCAGGAGTTTGTGACTAGCCTGGCCAACACAGTGAAACCCAGTCTCTACCAAAAATACAGAAATCAGCCAGTTGTGGTGGCATGCCCTGTAATCCCAGCTACTCAGGAGGCTGAGGTAGGACAATTGCTTGAACCTAGGAGGCAGAGGTTGCAGTGAGCTGAGATCACACCACTGCAGGCCAGCCTGGGCGACAGTGAGACCCTGCTACAAATAAAAAGGAATGAAAAGAGAAGGGAAGAAAGAGAGAAAGAGAAAGAAAGCAGGAAAGCAGACAGTTCCCATATATCTCCTCTACCTCTACCTCCTGCCCCCCAATTTCCCTTATTATTAACATCTTGCATTGAGGTGCATTTGCTACAATTTTTTTTTTTTTTTTTTGAGACGGAGTTTCGCTGTTGTTACCCAGGCTGGAGTGCAATGGCATGATCTCGGCTCACTGCAACCTCCGCCTCCTGGGTTCAGGCAATTCTCCTGCCTCAGCCTCCAGGGATTACAGGCACGTGCCACCATGCCCAGCTAATTTTTTGTATTTTTAGTAGAGACGGGGTTTCACCATGTTGACCAGGATGGTCTCGATCTCTTGACCTCTCTGATCCACCCGCCTCGGCCTCCCAAAGTGCTGGGATTACAGGCGTGAGCTACCGCGCCCAGCTTCCTTGGGTCAATGTCTATGCCTCAGTTTCTTCATATATGAAATGGGGGTCATAATAGGATATACTTCACAGAGTTGTTCCAACGGTTCGAGGGCTTGGAAGTGTCTGGCACATAGTGATCGCCCAGTAAAATTAGTGTTTAGTGCAAGGTTAACCTCAAGGTGTTGCAACCCCAGACTACCCGGGGCTTCCCCAGGCTCCGTCCGCTCCCGCAGGCCCCGCCCCCTCCCCGCTCAGTCCCGCCTTCTCCTCCCCAGGTCCCGCCCGCGCAGCTCGCCTGGGTTCCTCCCGCCACCAGGGGACGGCGGCGCTGAGGGCGGCCTTCTGGCGGAAGCCGGCGACGCTCTAGGTAGCTGCGGCGGCTCCTCTGTGGCCAGTGGCAGTGGCGCTCTAGCCGGCGGCAGTGAGGGGCGGGATCTTGGTGCTGCGGCCGGCAGGCAGCGATGGCGGCCGTTCGGGGCCTGCGGGTGTCGGTGAAAGCAGAGGCCCCGGCGGGGCCGGCCCTGGGGCTCCCGTCCCCTGAGGCGGAGTCCGGCGTAGACCGTGGCGAGCCGGAGCCCATGGAGGTGGAGGAGGGCGAGCTGGAGATCGTGCCGGTGCGGCGCTCGCTGAAGGAACTGATCCCGGTACGGGCGGGGGTCGGGGGGCTCGGAGGAGGTCGCGGGTGAGTGCCCGGCGCCGGAGGGGGCCGGAAGGGGCGGTGGCCAGAGCCCCAGCCGGGGAAGTCGGGGGAGCGGGAGAGAGGGTAGCCGCGCCCTGGGGCCGGGGGCGCCGGTCTGGAGTAGGGACGCGGAGCAGGAGAAAGGAGGCTGGGGCGCCGGAAATGGGGGTTGAGGGGGTGGCGGGGAACTGGGAGGGAGTTGAGGAACCCCCTCCGCTGCTCCCTCCGAGCCGCGCAGTGCAAGGGGGTGAGTGAGGAGGGGCTGGAGGGATGAGATAAAGGGAGAGCCCTGGGCGGGAACAGAACCTGGACAGCCCCGAAGGAGCTGCTGGGTGGCGCCAGCGCCCAGGTCTCCTGAGGGTCTTGCCCCGGAGGAAGTGGGGTCTGTGAAACATGGCACTCGCTCTTTCTTTTGGGAGTGCGTACAGCAGCAGACAAGTACATTGTCATCAGCAGAGCTCACTGCTTCTGTCGTGATCAGGGTCGCCCTGATCCCCGCGGCCCCACTGACACCTACACCGTGGCCCCAGCACCTGACTCAATGAAAACAAAGTGGAGACGACCAATAGACGTCCTTGGTCCCTCCTTCACCACGCTGGGGATGGTGAGAGGTGTTTTGCTTGTGGCTTGGTGGCTGAATATCCAGTTCTTAGAGCTGGTCTCAGGCCTGGATGACTCCTCTTAATTTCTCACCTAACATGAACTACTTTTGACCACATGTCAACATATTTAGACTGAAGTTACGGAGAAAGGTTAAGGTATGATCGCCAGAAAGGGCAAACGTGAATGGTTATGATTAACAGCAGTTACATAGTAGATTTACCATTCACTACATTCACTTCATTCACTGCCATTGGCTTCCTTGTGTCACTTAAATATACTGGCCGTGCACACGTACCAGCTCTTCAGGAATCTAAGTTCCAGACCAGCCTCAGCAACATAGCAAGATCCCTTTGGGGTCCCTCCTTTTGCTTCTCCCCATCTCAAAAACAAAACAAAACCAAAATAAATATCACTGCCGTTGTGAAGGAGGTGGTACCATTCCTTCAGTCATTCAGTTCAGCGTGTATTTATTTATTTATTTATTTGAGACGAAGTTTCGCTCTTGTTGCCCAGGCTGGGGTGCAATGGCGCAATCTCGGCTCACTGCAACCTCTGCCTCCCAGGTTCGAGTATTCTCTTGCCTCAGTCTCCCAAGTAGCTAGGACTGCAGGCATCCGCCACCGCACCTGGCTAATGTATTTTTAGGAGAGACAGGGTTTCTTCGTGTTGGTCAGGCTCTGACTCCTGACCTAGTGATCTACCCGCCTCAGCCTCCCAAAGTGCTGGGATTACAGGCAAGAACCACCGCGTCCTCAACGTGTATTTATTGCATCCCCCACTATGTACCAGCCACAGTCCTAGGTGCCTTGATCAAGATCAAGATCAAACTCCCTCCTGGAGTTTGTGTTCCAGGTGGGGACACAGTAAATAAATAATTTTGTCAGTGTTAAGTGGTGTGAAGAAAGTAAACCATGTTAATGGGATAGAGAGTGCGGGGAGCGGGGAGGGTCGGGGGAAGGGGGGAGTGTCGGGGGGAGGGGGGAGTCTGTGCAGAGGGGTCAGGGAAGTCCTCTCAGATAGTGACACTTTAGCTAAACTCTAAATGACAGAAGGGAGCCAGCCTTGTGCAGATTGAAAGGGTGTTCTCCAGCAGGAGCAATAAGAAGCACAGAGGCTCTGAGGTGGGTCCAGGATTGTTGGAAAGTTCGTAGCACAAATGGAAGAGCAGTAAAAGAGCTCAGGAAGGCAGGTAGTTACCACGGAGGAAACTGAGACCCACAGAGGTCAAGGAAACCACAGTGTCCTGTAATTAGTGATCGTCAGAGCTGAGGCTTCAGTGCTTGCCCAGTGTTCACATCCCATCCTCTTTGCATTGCACTGTGCCGCATTTGCCTCCGGAGTTCTAGGTGAGGCTGGACCTTCTGCGTTGAGGTAGAGGATTATGCTCCACCTGGTGGCGGGACATGGGGATTTGTTCAGATGAGGTTGGGGAGCTAAGTGTGCCTCATCTTTTGACATTTTCCAAAAAGCCTTTAGATTTTCTTTACATGGATACTTTCAGTTGATGGAATTACTTCAGGTTTTGGATGGGCTCTGATCTTATTGGAAGATTTGATTGATAGCATAGAATCACTGGTGTGGGGCTTTTTAATAAAACGTTGTCAGGGATAGGAAAGGGCTTTGAAAAGAATGACTATTCAAAAAGAACCAGACTGGCCAGGTGCAATGGCTCATGCCTGGAATCCCAGCACTTTGGGAGGCTGAGACAGGCGGATCACCTGAGGTCAGAAGTTTGAGACCAGCTGGCCAACATGGTGAAACCTCATCTCTACTAAATATAAAAAAGACAGCTGGCTGCAGTGGGACATGCCTGTAATCCCAGCTACTTGGGAGGCTGAGGCAGGAGAATCGCTTGAACCCGGGAGGTGGAGGCTGCAGTGAGCCGAGTTCATGCCACTATACTCCAGCCTGGGCGATAGCGCGAGACTCCATCTCAAAAAACAAACAAACAGAAAAACAAAAAGAACCAGACTGGGTATGATGGCTCATGTGTGTAATCCTAACACTTTAGGAGACTGAGGCAAAAGGACTGCTTTAGCCCAAGAGTTGGAGACCAGCCTGGGCAACATAGGGGGGACCCTGCCTCTACAAAAATAAAAAAATTAGCTGGGCGAGGTGGCACATGCCCAAAGGCCCAGCTACTCGGGAAGCTGAGGCAGGAGGATTGCTTGAGCCCGGGGAAGTCCAGGTTGCAGGGGAGTTGAGACTGCAGTAAGCCATGATGTTTCTACTGCACTCCAGCCTGGGCAACACAGTGAGACACTGTTGCAAAAAAAAAAAAAAAAAAAAACAACCAGTCGTCAGGCTGACTTTTATCATGGGTTTTTCCTCAATTGCCGTCTGAATTTCTCACCCTTCCCCTTTGTGTTAGGACACAAGCAGGAGATATGAAAACAAGGCTGGCAGCTTCATCACCGGGATTGATGTCACCTCCAAGGTAAGGCAGACCAGGATGCCTTTATTCAGGATGACGAGCAGGTGAACTTAATCAACCTGACCCCTAGGACTTAGCAGTAAATACTTTTTTTCTTTTGTTGCTGAATTTAAATCTCATGCCTGTAATCCTAGCACTTTGAGAGGCCAAGGCATGTGGATCATTGGAGCCCAGGAGTTCGAGACCAGCCTGAGCAACACAGTGAGACCCGTCTCTACAAAAGAGACAAAAATTAGCTGGGTATGGTGGCACATGTCTGTAGTCCCAGCTACCCGGGAGGCTGAGGTGGGAGGATCGCTTGAGTCTGAGAGGTCGAGACTGCAGTGAACTGAAATCGTGCCACTGCCTACCAGTGTAGGCAACAGTGAGACCCTGTCTCAAAAAAAACAAAATGTTGTGTTATACAGTGATGTCTTGCATCCCGAAACTGTGCAGGACAGCCATGGAGAGGTAAAATCACTCTACCTAGATAACTGTATGTAACCATTTCCAAGAAAGTGGCCAGTATCAGGAATGCTTTTTTAAATGATATGTCCATTCTTTAAAAAATGTGTACTCTTTCAGTTGAAATGAAACAAAACATTAAAAGAGCCTGGCACATAGTAGGCTCTTAATAGTCTTTATTCCTCATCAGTTGGAGACTTAGAAAAATAGGGCTTCTTGATTGCCTGGCTGTCTGAAGTTTGAAGCCCAAGTCAAGGGAATTGTTCTCAGTACCTAAGACTATTGGCTTTTATCTAATGATTGCTATTACTAGATTACCACCTTCACTGTAACACCTCATAGAGTCAAGCCTATTATTTTCCTTCTACGGAGTCAGTACATATAAGTTGCTTTAATCAGCGTTGTTCAATTTTAGACAATTTTTCTGATTTTAATTGTGCAGTTTGGAACAGAATTTTGTATTACATTTCTGAATAATAGTATATATTGCTGTATTGAATAGGTAAAAGCAAAAATAAAAATATTTCATGCTTACCTTTTTATAGTTTTGTTTTGTTTCGTTTTGTTTTTGTTTGTTTGTTTTGAGACAGTCTCTCTCTGTCACTGGAGTTCAGGGGCACAAGCTCTGCTCACTGCGACCTCCACTTCCTGGGTTCCGTTGATCCTTCTGCCTCAGCCTCCTGATTAGCTGGGACTACAGGCAGATGCCATCACGGCCAGCTAACCTTTTTATAGTTTATCTGTGTCTCAGTGTGTTTCCAATTACTTAAAGGCAAAAAAAAAAAAAAAAAGAATTGGTCATCTTTTAGACAAGAAAAGAGAATAAAGTGAAAATCTTTTTTTATTGTAATTGAATAAGTAGACTGTTCATAATCTTACACCATTTGTCATTATATGAAATAGGTATATGGGAAAAGGGTGGTAGTCTCAGAGTTAGTACTTTGTTTCTAAAGGAAGGTAAATTGTTGTTAGTACTAGGAAGACTTCAGTGAAAAAATGGGCATAACTATTGGGAAATAACAGAAGTGTTGCTACTTTACCAATCCCCACAAGGTTTCTATAGTCAGACCTTCAGTTAGTGTGGCAGAGTCAACATACAATTAATGAAGGGGGCCATTCCTGTAATCCCAGCACTGTGGGCGGTCGAGGTGAGCGGATCACAAGTTCAAGAGATCGAGATCATCCTGGCCAACATGGTGAAACCCTGTCTCTACTAAAAATACAAAAATGAGCTGGGCGTGGTGGCGCATGCCTATAGTCCCAGCTACTCTGGTGGCTGAGGCAGGAGAATCAGTTGAACCTGAGAGGTGGAGGTTGCAGTGAGCCGAGATTATGCCACTGTACTCCAGCCTGGTGACAGAGCAAGGCTCCATCTCAAAAACAAAACAAGCAAAAAAAAAAAAAAAAAAAAAAGCAGTTAGTGAAGGGTTCCTAGGAGCCATCAGAAAGAAGCCCATAGGTGGACCTGGCTTTATTTTAGCTCCTACAAGAAACTTACAAAGTGGATTATTTTTTCTGTGATGTGTCCATGGTTCTTATCACTTAAAGATGAAAACTGGTGATTCCGTGGACACAAGGCTGGAAGAGGAGAGAGTTTTTTTTTTTTGCTTCAGTGTTATTTTTAAACAGACTACTTTTAGGGAGTGGACTGTTCAGGCAGATATAATGTGGAAGAGCGTGCTAAGTGTGATTACCATGTCCACAGAAAATGAGAAATGGTGGTTGTAGGTGGGCCCCTGAAAACAGCACTGGAATCAGATCTGCTTGCTTACTAGCCGAAGTATTCCAGCAAACCTTTTTGTTTTTTTGTGCCTCCATTTCTTCGTCTGGAAAACTGGGATGTTGAAATTGTTTCGTTGTAATTTGTTGGCATAATTGATAACAAATGAAATATCATATAACTTCATAAACGATAAAGCACTCTTTATTCAGTCAGCAGATGCTCACTGAGTTCCTAGTATGTCCCAGGCACAGTGATAGGTGGTGTAGTTTTGGCCATGGTTGTAAGTCACAGCAGTACTAGCATATGCCCTCCCGGTCATTGAGTGTGAATGTCCAGGTCTCTGCAGAGCTTATTCAGGGTGCAGAGCTGCTTATTTCTTCCTGTGTATTTCAGGTTTGCCACCGATGCATCGTGATGCATTTGCAATTTAACGTGCCTTCGCTGTCTTTTACTACTTTAACTTTTTCTGTTCTTTCTAGGAAGCAATTGAAAAGAAAGAACAGCGAGCCAAGCGCTTCCATTTTCGATCAGAAATAAACCTTGCCCAAAGAAATGTAGCCTTGGACCGAGACATGATGAAGAAAGGTACAGGGTGTTTTGGGTGAAATTTTTCCACATTTCCCCAGAGAATGACTTTTCCCTGCCATTGTCTGATGCTTCTGGCCTTGCCTTGCGTGTCCACTCCTTATCCAAACACTCCTGCCAGAAGGGACCTGTGAGTCTCCATTTCTGAGGGCACCTGTTTAAGGTTCAGATGCTGTCAGCTGGCTCAAATACTAGAGCTGGGAAAGAAGAGATTGTCTTTTCTGAGGAGGCCCAGAAAAAGTTACCAGTTAGTGGTGGAGCTGAGATTCAGACCTGTGCTTCTAAGGACCCTTACTCATTTTCTGCTTTTATCATAAAGCTGTTAACTCCTCTTTGCCTTTAAATGTAGTGAAAGTGTATGTATCACAGTGAGACCTTCTTTTAGGGGGTTGGAGCAATTTTGAGATTGGTGGGGAAAAGCCATGAACACTTTTATTGATAATCTGAATCTATTGGCCAGGTTTGGTGGCTCATGCCTATAATCCTAGCACTTTGGGAGGCTGAGGCAGGTGGATTACTTGTAGTCAGGAGTTTGAAACCAACCTGACCAGCCTGGTGAAATACCGTTTACTGAAAAATACAAAAATTAGCTGGGTGTGGTGGCGCATGTCTGTAATCCCAGCTACTTGAGAGGCTGAGGTGTGAGAATCACTTGAACCCTGGAGGCGGAGGTTGCAGTGAGCTGAGATTGCACCACAGCACTCCAGCCTGGACAAGAGTGAGACTGTCTCAAAAAAAAAAAAAAAATCTGAATCAGGTGATAATCCTATCGTCAGAGAAAGCTAAACTAATCCTGCCCTGAGTTTTAAGCCTGCCTTTCCAGTTGCACTTGTGATTTTATTTCACTTGTGTGTTTTGTGGGTGTATTTTGCTCCCGAGAACTCAACTTGATTTATCGTATATAGTAATCTGCTATAGTTTTCTAAAACGATTTATAAATAAAAGGAAAAATTGCTACTTTTTTAGTGAGTCTATGTTCTTATTTATTATTCTGCTCTAATATAAATCCATGAATGCAAAAGGCTTCCCTCTGTGGTATTTGCACATTTGGGTGTTCATAAAGGGCTTAGTAGGCAGCTTTCTGAACACATGGTAAAGGCCTCTGTGGTATTGTGTGAGCTTCTCTGGCCTTGTTTGGTTGATAAAAGCAAAAGCTCTGTAAATATGCTGAATAAATAAAAGAATAGCTGCTGTTTTTGTGACCTTGCTTTTTTACCAGACACTGTTAAGCACATTACATATGTCTTTTTTGTTGCTCACAACAACTCTATGAGGAATATATTTTGATCCCTATTTTACAAAGGAGGAAGCAGGCTCAAAGTAGTTTAATAAATTGCCCAGGGTTATGTAGTTAGAAAAGGTGGAGTCAGGATTCAAACCTAGTTTATTGGACTCTCCAGCCTCGCTCTTAACTCCTTTGCTATGTTGCTGTGTGGTGTAGGATATGGTGCTAGTGACTGAAATGGTGTCCCTTCTTAGTGAGTCCTAATGGCACAGTAGTGTGGAGCAGAGCTGAACTCTAGAGCTGCCTCACTCATGCTGCCTGCATAACTCATTCAAGTCAGAAACACGACCTTGCTTCCCTCGTGGGTGGGGGTTTCTGTCTGAGGAAGTCCTGTGCAGGCCGGGGACAGCATGTGGCTTGGTATCAGGTGCCTGCACAGTCAGGGTCCTCTCTCACAGCTCTACCTTGAGGGAATCTTGGTTTTATCACACCTGTTCATTTGTTTTCCTTCTCCTCCCTGGACTAGACACTTATTATCACACCTGTTGTCTTCTGGTCCTGAGAGCGTTCCTTGAGGCGGCTTGCCTCTGATATGGTTCATGCCTTTCACTCTGTGCATTTGCCCTTCCTTGTTGCATGCCTTGTCTCTGGTCAGGTGTCACTTCCTCCATGAAGCATCTCTGCTCACCCACTTGAAGTGGTTTCTCACCTCCTCCTGGAATCTAGTCTCAGTTCTTTGTGACTGGGTGAGTTCTTGAGCCTTGTTAGTGTCCTTGTCTGTAAAATGGAAATACGATACTTAGGATCACATTTGGGGTTAACTTTTAAATGACAAAAAATTTTTTTCCCTTTTTTTAAAATACAACTCCAATCTGATGGTTCTAAAGATATTCCTAAAAAAGGCAATAAGGTCTGCCCTGGGATGTCAGCTGGGGGTCGCTTATTTCAATCTATTCTTCATCCAGGAGTCAGCATGGCCTAGGATAGTGTTCCTGCCGGCCGTCTCAGATCAGTTTACATTAGGGTTGGATAGGTCCCAGGGATAGCTATTGGTTTTTTTCCCTGAGACGGAGTCTCGCTCTGTCACCCAGACTGGAGTGCAGTGGCACCATATTGGCGCACTACAGCCTCTGCTGCCCAGATTCATGTGATTTTCCTGTCTTGGCCTCTCGAGTAGCTGGGATGATAGGCACGTTCCACTGTGCCCGGCTAATTTTGTAGTTTTAGTAGAGATGGGGTTTCACCATGTTGGCCAAGCTGGTCTTGAACTCCTGACCTTGTGATCCACCCGCCTTGGTCTCCCAAAGTGCTGGATTACAGGTGTGAGCCACCGCAGCTGGATGATAGTTACTGTTTTTATATCTTCCCAGGTGATTTTAATGTGCAGCCAGGATTGAGAACCATTGGTTTTGTGGTTATAAGAACGAGCTCTAAGCCCAGTTACCTGGATTCAGATCTTAACTTGTAACTTTCTAGCTCTGTGCCTTTGGGCAAGATATTTAGCCTCTACAAATCTCAGTTTCCTTATTTGGAAAGGCAGATGACAGGGCTGCTGGGAGACTAACAGAATGTCACAGTTGGTGGAGTGACGCTTGGCATGCAGCAGGTGCCCAGTTAATGTCAGTTTTCATCGTCATTTGGTTTTCTCCACCTTCCCAGCAGTGATTTCAGTGACTGAGCTTCTTGGGAGAGTGGGGAAATTGGAATAAGCATGTTGACGCCTGCATCCATGCCAGGTGTCCAGTTCAAGTTATTTGTGATTAATACCAACAATAGTAATAAAAGATCAGATTTGTCAAATGCTTAGTATATGCCAGTCATTCTGCTGTGTAATTAACTTATCCTGCCAACGTGCCTTTGAGGAGAAGGTGTTTATTATTTCCATTTCACTGATGAGAAAATTTAAGGTGCTGAGAGGTTGGGAAACTTGCTCATAGTCCCACAGCTCTGTCAGTAGCACAGCTGAGGTTGGAAGGCTGATCTGACTGAAGCCTGTGTTCCTACCTGCTCTGCCAGCATTCAGTCTGGGATGTGCTACAGTAGACTATTCTGCATCAAGAGTGACTTGCTGCATTTGAATGACTCTGTCAAACAGCTTCAGTCACTTTATCCCCAAGATTGAAGCTCTTGTGGTTGGAAGAGACCTAAGAGGTCATCTAGGTTACCTGCCCAGTGCTGCAGGCCTTTTGGCAAACTTCTTCATGGTCTTCTGGCCTCTGCCTGAATGTTTCTTAAGTGATGGTATGGAACTGTGAGGCAGACAACTTTATTTTTGGATGCTTACTTGTGTTGAGCATTGCCTTCTAGTAATTGCTGTCTGTTAGTGACTGTGCATGACTCTTAAAACAACACCGAAGTCCTTTTGTACATGGCCCTTTGGGTGGTGGAAGCACAGGCCCACTGCCTGTTTGCTCAGCTTTTCTTCATGTGACGCTACTTTCTGGTCTCCCTTCTCTAAACACTTTCCAGTTTTTGAATGTTCTTCATGAGGCGAGATGCAGGTTCCAGTTGTGGTTAGATGCGCAGGGAGAACAGCAGGGCTGTTACCATGGTCTCTGCCTCAGCCACTTCATGGTGTGGAACTCATCCTATGTGCAGCTGAAGTACCTAGCTCTTTTCCCAGGAAGTGTGCCCATCAGAACAGTCCTTTACATGTTGTACTTGAGGCTTTAAAAAAAATTACTTTTCGGTGTATTCCTATTAAATTACATCTTGTTGATTGATTTCAAACCTCTTTTTTCAGTCTGTTCATTTTCATCACAACTCTACCTCTCAGCTCCCAGCTCTACTTCGTGCTGTTCCTCCCCACTGTGGCATGCGTGGCTTCTGTTTCTTCTTCCAGTGGGTGGTGATTGGTGGACAGTTATTCCGGTATCATAAGTCTATTATCTATTATCGTAAGGCCCGCATTTCATTTTACTGTCAGGAGAAACGGGATTACATGCCTTAATGAACTTGAAATAGAACACCATCTTTGTGTTCTCTGAATGTCTTGACCTGGTGATGCTACCAAAAAAGAAATGAGGTTGAAATGAGGTTCGTGTGGCTTTCTTCTTTTTTTTAATTCCATCCAAGGCTTGGAGCTTGTTTCTTACTGAACTGTTGTCATTCCCTATGGGAAAGATTTGCTTATTTATTTATTTGTTCTTTAGAGATGAGGTCTCACTAGTTGCCCAAGGGGGGTCTTGAACTTCTGGGTTCAAGCGATCCTCCGCACTTAGCTTCCCAAGGTGCTGGGATTACAGGCGTGAGCCACGGCACCTGGCCTAACACTTGGTTTTTTAAGGGACCATAGATACTGTCTAATAAGCTTTTTTTTTTTTAATTTCAGAGGCTGACAGTGAGCTTTTCAATCTTCAGTTTGGGAATTTTTCCTTTTTTTTTATGAAAGCTTCTACAGGATTAGTCTTACTCATAGTTTTAAGATACTTTTCTCCTTCCCTGCTACTTTTTAGAGATTATTACCTAATTCTGAAATCACAGCTGTGTGTTTGAGTTAGTACATTGGGATATAATTCTACACTAGAAGATTTAACTCTATTAAGACGAAGTCTTACGCTCTTGTCACCGAACTTGAGTTTTCACTGTTCTTTAATGACAGTTGTCAGTAGAATAACAAAATAGGTCAACAGTTCAGCGTTTCTGCCTTTTTTTCCCATCATCTTCCCAAAGCAGGTTTTGCTCTAAACACTTACAAAAAGAAAGCTGTCAGCATTTTCTTTCTTTTTCCTTTCTTTTTGAGATGGAATTTTGATCTTGTTACCCAGGCTGGAGTGCGGTGGTGTGATCTCAGCTCACTGCAACCTCTCCCTCCTGGGTTCAAGCTGTTCTGCCTCAGCCTCCCAAGTAGCTGTGATTACAGGCATTCGCCACCACGCCCGGCTAGTTTTGTATTTTTAGTAGAGATGGGGTTTTTCCATGTTAGTCAGGCTGGTCTCGAACTCCCGACCTCAGGTGATCTGCCCGCCTTGGCCTCCTAAAGTGCTGGAATTACAGGCTTGAGCCACCAAGCCCGGCCGCTGTCAGCATGTTTGATGAGCTTGTTCATGCTGGACTATAATCTTTTCTTCATCAGCTCTTTTACAAACAGTTTGTGCTCACCAAAGCACATTTGGAAGAGACAACAGGAAGCAAAGTTGCCTGCAGTCTACCATCCAGATGCAGTCCTTGTCAACATTCTGTGTATTTCCTTCTCATCTCTTCTGGGCGTGAACTTCTGTTTTTCCCTTGGTAGTCACACTGCTTTTTTTCCTTTTTCCTCGTCAGTCTGTGGTCAGCATTTCCATGTTACTGTATCGCCTGGCATCAGTGGTTCATATTTGTGCCATTCTTGTCGCAATTCATCTGTCTCCCACATGTGTGCTTTGGCGAGGTCGCAGTTCATCTGTCTCCCACACGTGTGCTTTGGCGAGTTGTGCTCACCTAAAATTTGCTACCTTCTCTTTTCTGGGGAACCCCAGGAAATCCTTATTAGTGACCGGCAGTGCAATAGTGAACAGAGGCCTAAATGCAGGATGGAAAACAAAGATTTATTCAGTCCAAGGGCCTTCTTGGTTCTTGGAGTTAAAAGTCATGATTTTGGATCAAAAAGAGGCTGTGGGAAGTAAACAGATGGTTTCACAGAACGTAGCAGAAAGCAAGGAGGGCCCTGAGTGATGGTAGAGGAAGCAAACTGAGGAGGAGGGAGAAAAAAAGTAAATAGGAGACTCGTTGATCTGACAAAAAATTAATCTTAAAGGAGACTAGCCTAGAAACAAAGACCAAAAAGTGACGGAAATTATTTTCAAGGGCATGCTAACATTGTTCTAACATTACAGTGTTAAAGCCAGACCTACAGGTGAAGAAATCCTGAAAAGCAAAACAGAAAGAATGTAAGGAACAAAATTTCTGGTCTTGGATATCTCTTATTAAAAAATAGAGATGGTCTTGCTTTGTTGCCTAGGCTGGTCTCAAACTCTTGGGCTCAAGTCCTCCTACCTTGGCCTCCTAAGGTGCTGGGATTACGAGCATGAGCCACTGCACCCAGCCTCACATGTGTATTTTAATTTAGAGAATGTCATATACATTCAAAACTTGGGCAATGGATAATCCTGTTCAAAAGAAGCAGGTAAGGATACAAAAAAAAGAAAAAAATGTAGGTGCCGGGTACAGTGGTACATACCTGCAATCCTAGCACTTTGGGAGACCAAGACAAATCTCTTGAGGTCAGGAGTTCAAGACCAGCCTGGGTAAGATGGTGAAACCCTACCTCTACAAAAATACAAAAATTAGCTGGGCAGGGTGGTTTTTTCCTTTTGAAACAAGGTCTTACTCTGCTGCTCAGGCTGGAGTGCAGTCGTGTGATAGTGACTCACTGCAGCCTCAGCCTCCTGGGCTCAAGGGATCCTCCCAGCTCAGCCTCCTGATACCTAGGATTACAGCCGCACACCACCACACCCAGCTAATTTAAAAAAATTTTTGTAGAAGTGGGGTCTCCCTGTGTTACCCAGGCTGGTCTTCCAAACTCCTGAGCTCAAGCATCCTCCCACCTCAGCCTCCTAAGTGCTGGGATTACAAGCATGAGCCACCATGCCCAGCTGGATTCATACATCTTCATGGTATCTTTATCATTTTTCATTTGGGATGTCAGGAAAGTACTCCTGCATTAGTCTGGCCACACTTACATGGGCTCCTGTTAAACACATCTCTTAACTCTTTGGGATTTAAAAAACAGTTATTAAACACATTTTTTAATTTGTAAATTGTTTTTTGTTTTAATAGAAGTAGTAGCATATATCTGCTGGAAGAAAGATGGGCTAAATATTTTTAAAATTTTGTTAATAGCATATATAAACATGTCGGGAGTAATGGACATTAAATTATTTTTTTTAATTCTTTTTTAATTTTTGTGGGTACATAGTAGGTATATGTGTTTATGGGGTACATGAGATGTTTCATATCGGCATGTGACATGAAATAAGCACATTGTGGAGAATGGGGTATCCATCCCCTCAAGCTGTTTTTTTTTTTTTGAGACGTGGAGTCTTGCTCTGTCACCCAGGCTGGAGTGTAGTTGCATAATCTTGGCCCACTGCAACCTCCGCCTCCCGGATTCAAGTGATTCTCCTGCCTCAGCCTCCCAAGTAGCTGGGGCTACAGGCACACACCACCATGAATGGCTAATTTTTTGTATTTTTAGTAGAGATGGAGTTTCCTCGTGTTGGGCGGGCTGGTCTCCAACTCCTGACTTCAAGTGATCTGCCCCCCTTGGCCTTCCAGAGTGCCTAGCCCCCTGAAGCATTTATCCTTTGAATTACAAACAATCCAATTATACTCTTTATGTTATTTAAAAATTTATAATTAAGTTATTATTAACTGTAGTCACCCCAGGAGGCAGAGGTTGCAGTGAGCCAAGATTACGTCACTGCACTTCAGCCTAGGTGAGAGACTGTGACTCCATCTCAAAAAAAAAAAAAAAAAAGTACACAATCCTGATAAGGCTAAGTTTCCATTTTGACCATAGTCTTGAACCTTTCTACCTCCTCAGAAGTAACAGCTACCGTCAGTGTGACTCATGCCAGGTCTGGCCTTTGCTAGGTGTTTGTGTACGTAAATATGCACCCTTAGTAAATGTTTTGTTTTGTACGTTTTTTAAAAATGTCATCACCTTGTATGTAATTTTTTACAACTTGTTTTTTCACTCAGTAATGTATCTTAGAATCTTTCTGTGGTATATAATTTATCTCATTTTTTTACCACATATTTTATAATGTGGATAAAACATTATTTATTACCCCGGTAACTACTAGGTTATTAGAAATAGTGCTGTAGTGAGTATCTTTGTGTGAGCTACTTTGTGAATCCAAATGTTTGGGTTTATTTAGGGCCAATACTGAGAAATAAAATTCTAGATCTGTATGGCATGTGCAAAATCACATTTTTAATAGACACTTAAAGTTTGAATGACGATGCCAATTCATACTCCCACCAGCAGGGGAAGTAGCTCTTCCCCCACTTCCTGCCAACATTTGATACTAATAAGATGTGAAATCTCTCTATTCCAGTACTGGAGACGTGAGGAAATAAGATATAAAATCTGGTCAGTGAAAACTGGCATCTTCTTGTTTTAATGCACGTGTTAATAATTGGTAGTGAAGTCAGCCCATCTCTGCACGTGTGTATTGACCTTTTGTATTTCCTTGTATGTAAATCGCAGACTGATGTCCTTTGCCCATTTTTATTTTGGATTGTCTTTTTTTAAACTGACTTGTAGGATTTCATTACTCTAGTTCCATGCTTTGACATATCCACGGGTAGCATCTTCTCTCAGAATTGTCTTCAGTAATGCACGTTTCTCTCTAACATATGTTTAAGAATTTTAGAATTAGCTAGTTAACTTCAACAGATACTCCCATGGAGCTTGATATTGCTCTGATTGCTACAGGTTAATGTGAGGAGAGGTATCATGTATTTATCAACACCTTTGTTTAATCTTTCTGAGCCTGATACGCCTGTTCTGAATTGTATTAATGCTCTTGTTTAGGGATGAAAATTAAGGTAGTTTACCTTACTGTTATGTCTCATGCTCTTTTGAAATAATTGTAGTATCTCTCAGCATATTTCTTTCTAAACTCGTGTTATCTGAACTATTAGACAGGAGTACTGATGGGATGTGCAGTTATGGGTAGGAAAAGTCTATCATCTTTTCTGTATCTTGTCTTTCCAGCAATCCCCAAAGTGAGACTGGAGACAATCTATATTTGCGGAGTAGATGAGATGAGCACCCAAGATGTCTTTTCCTATTTTAAAGAATATCCTCCAGCTCACATCGAATGGTTGGATGATACCTCCTGTAAGTACCCCCGAGTTTTCTGTCAATATGCTTCTGTTGATGATTTTGCAAGCCTTCTTGCCATCAGAGATGCTGAATGATTATGGCCCCTACCACTCATTCATGTATAGCTTCTGCTCTTAGTCTAGCAGAGAAAACATTGTCCAGCAACGAAACCCGGCATGCCCTAACCAGTCTGCCAGCTCACACCCCATCAGTATTCCAAGTCAGCCTAGGTGGTGACCAGGACTCTAGGAGGTGGGTTACTGGCGTCTGAATCTGGCGTACTTGATTGAGGCCTCTTTAACACTCACTTTTCCCAATAAAGGAGAGAATCCAACTGCACAGACTTGGGGCTGCATTTTCAGGGCCTTGGACTTTGTCATTGCTACCTTCTGTACAGTTCTTCAGAGGGCTGACTCTGCCTGTGTCTCTGACCTAGAGCTAGACCAGAATGCTCTTGACACTGTAGCAGACCTCTCATTTCTGCTTGCCTTGAACTGCGTGTTCTAGAATGTCACCTGCTTGCCCTAACCTACGAGCTTTCCAACTTGTGGGCTAACTGTCATTGCTAACTCGCCTCCTTGCTGTCAGTCTGGGCTGACCTCTGCTTACTGCTTTGCTGGCTTCTTGTCTTGATTCACTTCTCGTCCGGCTTTACTTGCTGCCAGCTGGCTGACCTACTAAGTAGCACCCTAGATAGCAGCCTGGTTTTCTTAGCTGCTCTCTTAGGAAGATGGAGTGTGTTCATTGAAAGAAGAAACATGACTGAGAGAAACATTTTTCTCCTTTTTTCTTTCTGTTTAACTTACACTATCCAAATCAGGAATTGGCACACCTTTTTCCATAACGGACTGGAATGCAGTTATTTTAGGCTTTGTAGGCTTGATGGTCTCTGTCACATCTACTCAGCTCTGCTGTGGTAGCAGGAAAGCAACTTTCAGTCATACATCAACTATGAGCCTGGCTGTTTTCCAGTAGATTTTTATTTACAAAAACAGGTGGTAGGCCAGGCATGGTGGCTCATGCCTGTAATCTCAGCACTTTGGGAGGCCAAGGCGGGTGGATCACCTGAGGTCAAGAGTTCAAGACCAGCCTGGCCAACATGGCAAAACCCTGTCTTTACTAAAAATATATAAATTAGCTGGGTGTGGTGATACACACCTGTAATCCCAACTACTCGGGGGGCAGAGGCAGGAGGATCACTTGAACCCGGGAGGTGGAGGAAGTGGTGAGCTGAGAAAGCACCACTGAACTCCAAACTGGGCAACAAAGTGAGACTCCGTCTCAAACAAAACAAAACAAAACAGGTGGTAGATGTGTGTAGTTTATTGGACATTAATTATACCAAATAAAGCTGGTGCAAATATAAACAAACAACAGGTGGTGGGCTAGATTTTGCCTGAGGATTCTAGTTTACTAACCCTGATTTAAGTTTTTAAAACTGTAGCTAAGGGATGTTAGAATTGTTGGGACCCTCAGAATTACGTGATTCACCTACCTTGTATATCAGAACCTGAGAAACAGAGGAAGGAGACTATTTGCTTAAGGCCACATGGCACATTAGTAACAGAAGTGAGAGCCTTCAGACCTTCATTTCCCAAACTCAGATACGGGGACACATAATTTTGAGAAATGTTGTTTTAAACAAAGTTAAAGAGGTTTATTTTCTATAAGACTTCTCAAATCCCTTTTCTTGCTAAATTATCTTCCTTAAAGGGGCACATTAATTTAGTTGCTACAAAGCCAACTGGCTGTTATGCCTCCGTTATACTTATCCTGTGGATACCTTCATCACCCACAATTTACAATGGGAGTGATGAAGGGGGATATCATTTAGCACGTCCTGACAGCAAGGAACTACAAACGGCTTCCCTGTAGGGGGCAGTGGTATAAAGGGTAATCCAAGCTTACCTGACAGCTGTGATCATCATCAAGAACTGCTAATACATATTAAGTATTTAACTACCTGTGTTCTATTCCAATAGTGTTATCATACACAACCCTTTTTCATGGAATACTTAAGCTATTTTGTAGAACCCAGTTTGGAAATGCAGCTCTAGGCTAATTTTGTCAGAGGCTTTACTACCATGTCCGCCCTTTCTTCCTTCCCCGTCTGCTTCTCCTTCCCTTGCCCTCCCTTTCCCCTTCCCTTGCCCTCTTTTTCTTTCCTTTCTTCTTCCTTCCCTCTTTCTCTCTCTTTCTTTCTTCTCTGTCTTTCTTTTCTTTTCTTTTCCTTTCTTTCTTTTTCTTTTTTTATTTATTTTTAACTTTTCATTTCTTTTGAGATGAAGTCTCACTCTATTCCCCAGGCTGGAGTGCAATGGTATGAACTTGGCCTCAATATCCTGTGGCATTGAGTGGTAGCCTCAATATCCTGGGCTCAATCCATCTTCCCACCTCAGCCTCCCAAGTAGCTGGGACTACAGGCTCATGCCACCATGCCCAGCTAATTTTTGTATTTTTGGTAGAGGCAGGGTCTCACTGTGTTGCCCAGGATGATCTCACTTCAAGCGAGTCTCCTGCTTTGGCCTCCCAAAGTACTGGGTCACAGGCGTCAGTCACTGTCCCTGGCCTATATTTCTCTTCATTAGTTGGTTTGTATATTTACTGATGATAATCTATTGCTAGATGAGGCCATAGTGATGACTGCAGTGCAGAATCTGCTCTCAGGAAACTTACTATTTGTGTGCCATGTAGCGTCTTATTTTATATTTTATTTAAGGTAATGTAGTTTGGCTGGATGAAATGACAGCTGCACGAGCCCTTATCAATATGAGCTCTCTGCCTGCACAGGATAAGATAAGAAGCAGGGATGCCAGTGAGGACAAGTCATCTGAGAAAAATAAAAAAGGTAAGTGATGAACAAAAGAGGGAACTTGGGTTTGAAAGTCCTCTTCTTCACTCAGTTCTGTTGTGCGCTGTGCGTGTCTCAGCAGAGTGCTGTAGCGTCTCATCAGGTGGTTCTGAAGTAAGCTATGATGCTTTAGATCATCAGCAAAGGGGAAAATACTGGACTTTTAAAATTATATGAAATAGTTCATCCTGTATCTCATTATATGAAACTTTTACCTTGTTTCGTCTTGTCCTTCACATTCCATGTTAGACAAGCAGGAAGACAGTTCAGAGGATGATGAAGCTGAAGAAGGAGAGGTTGAAGACGAGAACACAAGTGACGTAGAGGTTAGTAATAGGGCGAAGGTAGATGTCAGGCTCTCTTGTAAAAAATGCTTACTGTCTTTTTAATTTAAGTCTTAAAGACTTAGTTGTGTTTTTCCTCTAGCTTTCACCGTGAGACCTTCTGAGGATGCACAAAGCTCTTGTCCTTTAAGGTCATGTGGATGTAACAATTCACCTTGAAACCCCATAATAGTGCTCATCCTTCTACAAAAAAGAAAATAGTTTTATTGAGAAATACTTTGAAGTGTTATCTAATCAGTAAAATTAAGAAACAGCAAGTAATGACATATTTCCTAATGGATTATGTACTGCTGTTAGAAATATTAGCATGTATTCATTTTTAATTTTTTTTTGAGATGGAGTTTCGCTCTTGTTACCCAGGCTGGAGTGCAATGGCGTGATCTCGGCTCACTGCAACCTCCGCCTCCTGGGTTCAAGCAATTCTCCTGCCTCAGCCTCCCGAGTAGCTGGGATTACAGGCACGCGCCACCATGCCCAGCTAATTTTTGTATTTTTAGTAGAGACGGGGTTTCACCTTGTTTGACCAGGATGGTCTCGATCTCTTGACCTCGTGATCCACCCATCTCGGCCTCCCAAAGTGCTGGGATTACAGGCGTGAGCCACCGTGCCCAGCCGCATGTATTCATTTAAAAAATATTTACTGAGTACCTACTATACGCCATATTCTAAGTGCCATGGATATAGCTTCAAGCAAAACAAAGTCCTGGTCTTCTTGGAGCCTGCATTCTAGTGGGAATACAGGTGATACACCGATGCACAGATCCTAATACTGTGTCAGGTGGTGACAGGTGCTGTGAAAACAGGAAGAGTAGGGAATAGAGAATGGCTGAGACTGTTCCTTTAGACAAGGTGGGCGGGAAACCTCTGAGTTAGAAATTCTACAGAGGAACTGGTGCTATAACCCTTGTACGCATTAAAGGTAGAATGCCTTTCTTAATGGTAACTTGACTACTGAAGAAATATGAAAAGGACTTTAATTTTATATTAAAAATACTCTTCTTTCTTAAGTTGGACACGTTGTCTCAGGTAGAAGAGGAGTCTTTGTTAAGAAATGATCTTCGTCCAGCTAACAAACTTGCTAAAGGAAATAGGTTATTCATGAGATTTGCTACAAAAGGTAAATTTTTTATTTGGTATTGTTTTGTATTTTCAGTCAAAATGATTTATTGTGGAGTGACATCCTTTTTTTTTTAATAGAACTTAGATCAAGTAGTCTCAAAGTTCCCTTCAAACTATAGTATTCTTGCTTATGAAATAAGTGCTCACTGCCTGAGCTGGAATTTCTGACTTTAAAGTGAATATATTTGTATACTTCTGTGACTTCTAGCTAAAGAAAGTGATTTTCTATTAAAACTGGTTTGCCCCATGTGTTTTCAGCCAGTTACATCTGAATTATGAAAACTTTAAAATGAAACGTTTTAATCTATTGCAGCAGGATCCTCCTGAACATTGCCAGTATACCATTAAGCTCTAATTCCCGTCTCATAAGACTTTTGCACACAGTGACTTTTGGCGGGCGTTTAAAAATGTGTGTGTATGTGTGTATATGTGTATACACATATACAAATCCTGTTTTTTGAGAGTTATTTGAAGATAAACCCGTCACCCCTAAATACTTGAATACGTATTCCAGAGAACAAGAACATTGTCTTTCACTGATAGCACACTCATCAAAATCAATGCATCTGACATTAATAGAGTACTGTTACCTAATCCGTCGTCCATATTCAAGTGTTGTCAGCTGTTCCAATAATGTCGCTTCTGTATTCCCCACCCAGCCCCCAGGTCTAGGATCTAATCCAGGACTGAGTGTTTTTAAGGATGTCACGTTTCCTTAGCTTCCCTTAATCTGGAGCTACTTCTGTCCTCCCATGTTTTCCAAGAGTATAGGCTTACTATTTTATAGGATGTCCCCGGTTTCGGTGTGTCTGATGATTCCTGCTGGTTGAATTAGGGTTGTGCATGTGAGGTAGGCGTGCCATGGAAGTGATGTCATGTAATTTCCAGTGCCTCATGTCAGGAGCCCTGGGACACTTACTTGTCCCATTCCTAGGGATGTTCACTTTATTCACTTGGTGAAGGCAGTAATCACTAGATTTTTCCACTGTAAAGTTACTGTTTTCCCATTTGTGTCTTAAAAATTGATGGGCTGGTGGTTGCAGTGGCTCATGCCTATAATCGCAACACTTTGGAGGCTAAAGCAGGAGGATCACTTGAGTCCAGAGGTTCAAGACCAGCCTAGGCAACATAGCAAGACCTCATACCTATTTTTAAAAATTAAAGAAATGAATAAAATAAAAACTTGGTGGGCAGATTCTTTGAGCTCCTGTAAATAGCCTGTTGCTCTCAGCATTTCCTGCTTTTAATACATGTTGATGTCTTTCTGACTACATCGTTTCTTACTAGTAGACAGGTGCTGTAAGGAGGAGCTTTCTGTTTTACCTGTTTGTTTATTACATCAATTTAGAATCATGGATCTTTATTCAGTGGGTCATCATCCATTAATATGAGTATTTTAATTTACAAAGTTGTCTTGTATTTGGCCAGTAGAGCCCCTTCAAGCTGTTTTGATGTACTCCATGATTCTTTTTTTTTTTTTTTTTTTTTGTATTGTTAGTAGAGACGGGGTTTCACCATGTCGACCAGGATGGTCTCGATCTCTTGACCTCGTGATCCACCCGGCTCGGCCTCCCAAAGTGCTGGGATTACAGGCTTGAGCCACCACGCCGGCCCCTCCATGATTCTTTAAGCACTTTCTTACTTTATGGCACAACAAAGCATCTTGCTTTTCCAGACTCATTTTGGATCTTACCTGCTCCACATCTGAATCAGCCATTTCTCCAAGGAGCTGGTGGGCATGGTTTGAGGGGTTCAGGGTTGGGGGCTGTGCATTACAGTTTGTGTTGTCACATTTACCTAGAGCACTGAGTATATTTACAGTGGTGTTTGTTATTTACTGTCAGAGTGTCCAAGGACCATGGAAGGCCTTTGTATTACTGCTTTGGACAAAAATTTATCATCACTGACCGCCTTTCTTTCCTATTACTGACGTTTTAACTTGACAAATGTGCTCTTTGCCACATGTACTCATTTGAGTGGTTGAGTACATTCTAGATGTATACTATGCCGTTTTCTTAAGCCATTTTGAGAAACACGGTAAGCTGGAAAAATGATTTACCAAATATATGGAATGATAACACTCTGTTCTTTTCATCCTGATTCTGTGTTGTTGACGTGTTATTCAGAAGTGAATATCATCTTTCATGGGGTGGCAAAAATGCCGTTTTGAGAAAGCCTTTTTGATTCTGAGTACCTGCAATGACCTAAAGCTCTTTATGCCTCTTGGAACCTTGTGTCTTGTATTGTTTATTTTTATTTCCCCGTTAAGTCATTTGGCTCCAAAACAGCAGTTGTAACCTTGTTCGTCTCTGTATTTGGCTTTATCCTTCTACACTCACTGTCATAGTGGGCACTCAGAGTATGAATTTGTAGTGGATTTTTCCTGTTTGTTTGCAAATTGAGCTGATCTGATTCCAGCTATGGAAATCATTAAGGGGGAAAAAAAAAAAACAACAGAAACATTCAACATTGCCTTCACACTCACAGGAAAGCCTAGGTAACTATTATAATTAATTTTTAGATGACAAAAAGGAACTTGGAGCAGCCAGAAGAAGTCAATATTACATGAAATACGGGAATCCAAATTACGGAGGCATGAAAGGAATTCTTAGCAATTCATGGTGAGCCCAAAACCTTAAATGCAAAAGTATTTAAGTTTTTCTTAATCCTTCAGTTGTATTCTGTGTTGAAATGTCTAAAACCCCGTGTAGACTGGAAGAAGAAGAAAGATGAGGGAAGGATTCAAGATTCTTAAATGTGGTAAATGCTGTGAGTTTTAGTTACATTTAAAATATCTGTTTTAGTACCTAATATTGTTTCATGTGTGTAGTTGAAATGAATTAGTGAGGCCAGATGCAGTGTCTCACGCCTGTAATCCCAGCACTTTGGGGGCCGAGGCGAATGGATCACCTGAGATCAGAAGTTCTAGACCAGCCTGGCCAACATGGTGAAACCCTGTCTCTACTCAAATACAAAAAGGGCCAGTGTGGTGGTGGCACACCTGTAGACCCACCTACTCAGGAGGCTGAGGCAGAAGAATTGCTGCAACTCGGGAGGCAGAGGTTGCAGAGAGCTGCGATAGCCACTGCACTTCAGCCTGGGAGACGGTGAGAGACTCCATCACTGAAGAAAGAAAGAAAAAAAGAAGAAAGGAAGAAAGGAAGGAAGGAAGGAAGAAAGAAACGGGCTAGTTGATTCAGGGTCTTTCCTATTAGTTTTGATTGTGGCTTATTTTGGCGTTCTTGCAGGAATCGAAATATCATTCCCGTCGTATCAGCGGGACGTGATCAAGAAGAGAGCCCTGATTGGGGATGACGTTGGCTTGACGTCGTATAAACATCGGCATTCTGG